TGAATGCATGACCAAGACAAGAATATACTCAAGAAATATAATATACTCTGTGTTGTTGTTACAGTTAAAAGGCTTTTATTGAGGTTTTATATTTATGAGGAAACGTGTGGCATTGATAACAAACTCACAGACACTTCTGAAGTATGAATTAAGTCGACTTTATGTTTCAGGAAAGATTCAGGGCTGGTTAAATCTACTTAGGCTGTTTTTTTGTTTTGTTTTTATCAAAGGCTGTAGTTTCAGGAGAAGTTCAAAAGGGCAGAGATAACTGAAAGATGTACAGGCATGCAGATAGAAAAACTGAGAGATGGATTTTATTTTTGTGAGCAAATTTGTCGTGTTGACAGGTCGCCCTGAATTATGAAAACAGCGATTCTGTCACAGCCTCAACTAACATATTATCTAGCTCTTCACTGGCAGTCCATCAAAATGCATCAGCCTCCGTGCCAGCTCTCTTTTTAGTGGCCTGTCCATTCTCTCCCTAACACCATAATGTTATGTGTCCCAGCTGGTGCTTGCACAACCCACAGCAGCTGCATAGGAATGTGCAGAGCAGCTGCTAAAAAAGCAGTCTGAACCAGTGCTTATTAAGATGAACTCTAATTAATGGAAAATAAAATATTCTGTAAACTTTTTCTTAGATTTTAAAATATCTAACTATTGATGTGTTGACTATGATAACAGAAAACTCATATGTTGAATCATATAATCATGGTGGAGGGACCTTGTTTTGAAAAATTATTTTTTTAACTGTGGATATTTATTAAAAGCTTTTATCAGTAGTTATAAATTAAAGGGATTCTTTTTGGGGGGGGGGGGGGGGTATGTTTAATCTCTGAAAAGAGAAAATTTTGATACCACTCTCATGTCTGTACGGTAAATATAAAGCTGCAGCCAGTTAGCAGGCATCCAGACTGAAAGAGCCCTGTGTTAAAACAATGCAAGAGGTTGCGTTGATGGGGGCGTGTTGTTTCATGTAGCGGTGAGACATGAAATACCATCCAGGATGTCCAGTTTGAGTAACAGAGCTGTGAATCTGAAGGAAATAAATGCAACGCTGCTAAATTTATAATACTATGAGATAGGGTTTAACGACTCTGGGAAGTTGTCATATGTTAGAATTTGTCAAGATGAAGTGTTGCATTCAAAGACTGCAAAAAAGAAGTGAACGTAGCCACTATGACGCCACACATTGGTTTGTGGGCTACTGTTCGGAAGTGTCATCTTAGTTTGTTGGAGCTAGAGGTGACCATATTTGGATGAGAGGGTGGGGCTGCGGAGGAGTGAGGAGTGGATTTGACTAAGAACCCGAGGAAACTCTGTACGCCCACCCAGTCCAGTAACCTGACTGCGCCTGGCTCCTGGCTACACCATGCAGAAGTCACTGAGTTACCATCTAGGGCTAGCTAGTTAGCTTGGTTAGCAAGGTGCATCTGTAATTCATGTTAACTGTGATGTATATATACTGTATATCACTTTTCTGGTCTCCAATCAAAGCGCTTTTACACTACATGTCACATTCACACACACTCACACACTGATGGAGCAGCCATTGAGAGCAATTTGGGGTTCAGTATCTCGCCCAAGGATACTTGACATGCAGACTGGAGGAGCTGGTGATCAAAACTGCCGATCTTCTGATTAGTGGACGACCCACTCTACCTTCTGAGTCATAGCTGCCCCAGCTGAACACCTAACAGCTGCTTAACCTGTTAGGGGCCATTCTTGGTGCTGGAGCCTATCCCAGCTGACATTGTGCGAGAGGTAGGGTACACCCTGGACAGGTCGTCAGACTATCACAGGGCTTAAACATAGAGACAGACAACCATTCATGCTCACATTCACACCTACGGACAATTTACAGTCACCAATTCCTTCTGAGCCAAAGCCCCACCAACACCTAACAAGACATTTTTAGGCGACAAACATGTCACCAATTAACTTTAATAAATTTGAAAACACCGACAACACCCCAAAGTAGTTTACACTCTATCCTGATTGCCAGGTCACCGTGGTAGTGACTTGTCAATCACAAGCTAGCATCGCACTAAAGCATACCCTGCTTAAACATGTATTTTACTCTAAATGGGACCATAATTCACCTAATGAACATCAGGTTGTATTTAAAGAATACTTAAGAGTAGCAATTAAGACCAAAGTGTTTACTGAGGTAATAAATCAAATGAGAAGTTTGGTCATTTTTACAGAGACCTCTGTACAATCCGAGTTCTTTTTGCAACCAGTGGAGTCGCCCCCAGCTGGCCATTAGAAAGAATGCAGCTTTAGAGCACTTTGCATTGCTTTCACTTTTCATTCTTGCAGGCTACGTCCACTTGTTGTATACAGTCTGTGGTTGCGTTGCAGCAAAAGTAAAGCCTGGTTCAACTTTTAGGCTCCATTGGAATGAATAAGAGCGCTATGTTTTTAAATGCAGGGCTAAAGTCAGTCTGAATGCAGCCTTAGCTTAGCATAACAACTGTGGCTCAGGAAGTAGAGCAGGTTGTATGTGGTTCGATCTCGGCTCCTTCAGTTCGCATGTTAAGGTGACCTTGGGCAACATACTTAACCCCAAATTTTTCCTAATAAGTGTGCCATCAGTGTGTGTGAATGTGGCATGTTGTGTAAAAGTGCTTTGAGTGGTCGGAACAAATCCACTTATCAGCACCTGAAATATTGACACGTTATACTATTTGTTTGTTTAAGCTGTTGTAAAAGACTGTGCCGGATTTTTCTTAGCTGGGAGCAGAAAGTCACTGCTTCTGGCCCCAAATGGTCCGTGTTAATTAGTGAGCTTTATTTCTATTTGTATAAAGCCAAGCTAGCTGTTTCCCCTGTTTCCAGTCCAAGGCTCCTGGCTGTAGCGTCACATTTACTGTACAAACATGACAGCAGTATAGATTTTTTCATCTTACTTTGTCAAACAATTCCTTTAAGTGACACATCTCTGTAACAAAACCTTGTTAAGTAATGCAGAAAGATGTCTTTTATCACCCCGTGCTGCCCAGATCATTTCTGACAGCTATCAAGCTTTTAAAATTGGCATTTATCAGCATCATTACTCCTCTGCCTCTTGCCTTACATTAACTCTCTGCCTCTGCCTACATGCAGCACATTCATTCTTTCTTTTGTCTCTCTGCATGATTGTGCACAACCCTACGGCTCATACGCCACCCTTTCACTGTGACCTGACACCTGCTCAGTAGCATCAGCATGCATGAGTGTGTGTGTGTGTGTGTGTGTGTGTGTGCCATAGAAACCATCCTACTGTAAGTGTGCACATCTCTATACGAGTGGGTGTAAACCATGCATGTGCTCAAGTGTACGTTGTTACATGGTTATTCTGCTTGTTGCCTGTTACCTTGTCAAACTGGTCAGATTTTAAAATAAGCATGAACTTCTTGTTGTGTGAGTCACACGAGCCTGCAGATCTAACAGATGGTGTTTTGGTAACAGGAAACTGCCCACATGGCTTTAAGTTTCTTGATCTCAGCAGTTCAGTTCTATTGTGATAAGTTCCAGTGAAGTTTTTCATTCAGGGACAAGAGGCAATCACACTGCCACTGTGGTCATTTGCTGCTTCCCAATGAGTCAGGGTTGTACTTTGAATATATTTGTGCAGGGGCCACGTTGTTTATTGATCACCCTCTCTGCGATAACCTGTGGCTTTTCTTGTCAGCTTGTTTGTTCCCTTTCTTTGTCTGATTCAAATTAAAGATTACTGTTAGCATGATTAACGGATCTTAATGTGATTTTCAAACGTCCCTCACAGCAGAATATGTTTGGTTCTTTGGGGGTTTGTTTTATTTTCTCGATCAACTGTTTCTGCTGCCGGGAGAAAATGGGTGATCCCCAGTGTTCCCCACTGTTGTTCATTCTGGATGAATGTCTCCTCTGTATAATTTGTTTAAAAGGATTTAGTTTAATCGGAATGAGAGCCGTCAAGAAAATGTCTGTGATGTAAAATGTGCAGCAGGAAAACAATTGATACAAGATATAGCTTCTATATATAGCTTCTATAGATATATATTCAAAGACAAAGTATAAAATATAAAGAGTACCACTTTGATCTTTTCTAAGAATGTATTTTGATTATGTAAATGAGCACTATGATTCTGCTTGATTTAAAAAGAACAAAAAAAGGCCTATTCTATGGTGTCTCTCATATCCTTTAGGTATGGGATTAAAACAGCAGCATTAAATCAGTGCATGGTGATCTTCTCTCTCCTGTTCATATTTAAAAAGCTCTGTCTATTTACCAGCACTGTGTCAGTCAGTGAGACTGTATTGTGAGGTTGTCTGGCCTTTCTCGCAGGCCTTGGGATGATAAAACATTCTCGAGGGGGTTTCTTTTTCTGTGTTTGCATATCGCTGCTGCTATGAACAACTCTGATCCAATCAGCCTCTGCTATAATGACCTTTGTTGTGTAATTGATTGAGGATATTCCATTTTAATGCATCAACTGCAAGGACTTTGCATTTACTTACAAATAAAGAGAAACATTTACAGAATATGTCAACACATTTGCTTGGTTTGTTTTTTTTGTTTATATGAGAAAGAAGCCAGGCTGGAAAGGTTTGTTCCCGCAGTAGGACTTGTTTAAGGTTGGAGCGTTTTAGTTTGAAGGTCAGATTTAGATGTTGATACAGAGTTTTGCCCCTGAAAAACAGAGTCGCTGCAAACAAGTCATTTGCTTCCCCTCCCTCCTCTTCCTGCTGCTGTAAGTGCTGGTCATCATGGCTCAGAGAGCCGGCACTCAGAGCACAGAGATGCCTCTCAGCACCATGGAAACGTGTCAACATAACAAGCCATCCAAACTTTACACAAGGGCTCTGATTGGTGGCTATGAGGAAGAGCTCAGCACTTGCCTTTCTAATTAGCCCAAAGAGTTTGACCCTCCTATTGAGCAAGATAGGTTGCATGCACACATACCTGCTGGTCAAATGCAGTGCAGTGATTTCCCTCACAGGACAAACATTTGAACAGTCTGAAAACAAACAAGCAGGAAAAGCAAAATTAAAGGTAGCAAAATATATTTTCCTCAGTATCAGTATCACCATTACTCAGCGTCAAAGTCATGGTTCATGGGAAGAAGTTGGCCAAGGAGACACTGCTGCCGTCTGTGCTGGAAGACGATGACGCAGAAACACAAAGTGAGAAGCTGCAGCTGGGAGAGGTAGGAAGCTGACCATCCGGCCAAGTCTGCTTGAGCAAGGGAAGTGTGAACAACCAGGTAGGCGAGTGTAGGGCTGCTCGCAGGCAGATTTTAATGAAGTCTGAGATTGAATAAGACATGAGATAGGGATTTGGTGAGAATTCAAAGCATGTTATTGACCTGCAAGTGTACCTTTTGCTCTTAAAGGAACTCTTCACCCACCAAGTGACCATTTGTATATCACTCACTCATGCCGTGTTACATTGAATTGAGCATGAAAACCTTGTTGAAGAATCCAAACATTGAAAAATGACTTGATGAAATGAAGTTAATGGGGTCCTTGTTTAACTACAGTAAAATTACATTAGAGCCTCCCTTCACAAACACTCATACAACTCCTGCAGTATAATCCAATTCTCTGATTCTGAACTAAAGGTCCAAACACACCAAACCAACATCAAAGGAGTGGTGACAAAGGCCGACTGTTGTGTCACCTCGCATCGTCTGTGTCTCAGCTAAAAAGTTGCACTTGATCACACCAAAAAGGCAACAGACAACGGGTAACTTGCATGTATGTTCTTCACCTGCGTAAGAGGAAATAACTCTCCATACCAGCAGGTGGCAGTAGTCCGTCATTCAAAAAGGGAAACTGGAATATGGCCAGGACATATTCAAGATGCCAGTTAGCACGTCAACAACACAACCTGATACTGGAATAACAAAAGATTTTCACCATGCTGTCACAACAAATAACACAATTATGAACAGTTTCTGCTAAATAAAACAAACCCCATTGCTAAAAAATATAATCCTACCTTATGTAACAGGTTTGTTTCGCTCTTACTCCCTCTTGACTTTAGCCACTTGTTTACTTTCCTCACTTTAGTTTTTCTTCTTGTGCACCGAGCTGGACTGCCAATCAGAGAGATTTCACACACTGACAGGCCCTGCCGTCTCCGATGCCCAATTCAACATTAAGAATTGGCCAAAAAAAACAGGCAACAAGGGCTGACTAGTGGCACCAGGGCGAAACCCAGGGCAACAGACATTCATCAGCTGCCCATCACTATCGGCTTGGTATGTCAGGGCCCTTACCCTTTAAAACACCAAAGTCACACACAATAACACTAACTAACTGATCGAGGCAGCAGTAGACCAACAGCTCCTGTGTTCAGCAAGGTAAAATGACAGCTTTTGTCAGTGGAGTCTGGCTTTGAGGACAGCACAGATTCACTTTCAGTTCAGTTCCCAGTTGGAAAGGGCTGCCGGTTTGGGAAGCACTAAGTGTATTACTGGATAAATGAAACTTGGATTATACTGCATGAGTTGCGTGAGAGTTTGTAAATGGATGTTTTGATATGCTTTTGCTTTTTAAGTGCGGTTGCCAATGACTTTAACTTATTAAGAAATGTCTCTGGATACTTCATTCACCGGAGACACGTGAGAAAAATAATTAGCAAATGTAAATATAATCATAGATAAACTTAAATAGGCATTATTATCACTACTGGTTTTAGTATTATGGTGTACTGCAGTTCCACATGCAGAGGTTTATCCAGGTGGTGTTAGCTTACCATAGCAGAAGCTGGTTTTTGCCTGCTGTGGGTTTATATCATTACTATCAAACGTTTAAAAAAAAAAAAGGAAAACATCCAAATGTAATATACCCAGGTAGCCAAAATGACCTGGCCCAGATCTGGCCTGAACTCAGCATGCCGGGTTAAATTAGTCGGGCCGGGTTTGGTTGCCCAACTTGGCTGTGACTCGGAATGAATGACCCACAGAATCGGGCCAAATCAACTGGCCCAATTCCGGCTAACGACACTGCCGTCACTGGGCCGTTATCAGAAATGACCCAGCATCAGCCCAAACTTGGCATGCCGAATAAAATGATCTGGTTGCCTGACTCTGCTGAGACTCTGCATGAACGACACCCCGGAATCGGGCTGAAACAGCTGACCCGATTCCAGCTGCCTATACTACCATCACTGTTGTTGTAGTTTTTGAAAAGTGTCAGGACATGCAGGAAAAGCTAATGCTAACATCAATAAGTGATTTTCGCTGAAACTTTAATCATGGAAATAAATAATATCAATTGCAAGGAGCATAAACAAACCTGTTTTTGGTAAAAATGTTGTCAACCCCCCACCTCCACCACATTTGGTCCTGTTCAATATTAACTCCATGGCTATGCCCTTGAACTTATACACAAATGGTCATTTGGGGATAAAGTATTCCTTTAACCGTAACATCCTCTCTAGACACGTCTGAGCACTTTCCTTGCCCAGGGCGAGGAAATAGAGGCTCAAAATTACAGGCTAAAGACCTGCAATTTTCTTTTTATAGATTGCTCTTTTGACCTGTGTACGTGCATGAATTTATTTAATAGAGGGGACTGAGAGTGTCGCCCTGAAAGTGTCTCAATTACACTTTTATGTAGTCTAATCACAAGGCTGCGTGCTCTAAAGCAGCACATTTTTAAATACAAAAACCTTTTGGATGTCCACACACACAAAAAAAAATGCCTTGGAACATGTGCAGTACCGCTCACATTCCAAATGATGGTATTACTGAGTAGCATATTTAGAAATGAAAATAACAATATATAACATGGCTAACTGAGAAGCGTAGTGAATATGCTACAGAAATAAAGGGAGTATAAGACAGCTAAAACAGTCTCTGGCGAAAGAGGTTAAAGGGAGGTGGGAAGAAAGGAGTAGGTGGGAAGGGAAGTAGTTACAAAGACAGGGACAAGCTCAAAGAGACAAGTTCTCCACATTGATGGACTCAGTTGTCCAACGTGTAGGTATCAGTTTTATTCTCCTGGCAGCAAATCCATCAAATCTCCTCTCTCAGGCTGCCAACAACAGCCAGCTTTGAGGAGTCACGATGTCTCACTTTCTCATTCTCCACCCAGCAGAGAGTGAGCCGGACAGAGGTCGACATGCATAGGCCAAAGGACAAACGCACAAGTCCTGTCGGGAACATGCTAGATAGAGGTGAAAGAGAGAGTGAAGAGGAAGAAGAGGAGGAGGAGGAGGAGGAAGATAATGAAGAGGAGGAGCTGGGAGGAGAGGAGTGTGTGATCTCTGATGAGGACTATGACACAGATCTTGAGCTGGGAGGTAAAGAGGGGAGAAAAACAGGGTGGAAAAGTTATTACATTTTATCATAAAGGGTGTGATGTTCCCTCTTATAAGAAAAAAATGGGGAAATGGCTCGGTGATGTGAGTCATATGTTTGAAATGAAACATTTCATCCTGTTATTTTCTGTCTGAAATGATATTTCATACGAGGCTCCAAGAGTACAAAGTATTTCGGCGTTGAGTCTTAATTTGATCTCGATCAGAACACGCATTGATAAGGCGAAGCCCTCCTGTCACCCCATCTGTTCATCTTTTCCCTTTTGCTTTTCCATCTTCTCATTCTGTAAATGACTTCAGGAAAGAAAAAAGAAAAACAAAACAAAACAGTAACTCCTACACGCGTCTGCCCACACAATGTGAAGCCCTGCTCTGCATAATGATTTCATCCCAGTCTTTGTGTCAGGCTTCCTTTTCACCAGAAGTGAAAACCATCTGGTGTGAATGAGCTCCCCTGACAGGGCCAAATCAGCCATGAGGGAGTTTTCAATATCACACTCAAAAGGTCCTCCTTCGAGGGAAAGTGCCACATCTCTCCTTTTTACAAAGAGGTTTTGATCGCGAACAATTCAGACAGCCAGTGTCTTTATTCATGTTGCAGATAAGGAGGAGGCGTATGACCCGACGGGGCAGACGTGCTACATGGAGGCGTGTAAAGCATTACAGGTTGTACCTGCCTCATATTTCCTGCGGCACATGCAGAATAGTGAGCTCTCCATGATGCATTATGGTCTGGGGCCTCAGGTACGTTCATCATAAGTTAGGGATTGTATGAAAATTATTACAAGGGTAAGAATAAAGGCAGGGTTGTGTCATTTTTCTTTTGGCTGAAGGGAGGGTAGCCTGAATGAATGCTTTTATTTATCTATTTCCAGCCCAGACTTATATTTCATTAGTCTTTTATTCTGTTGTTTTTATCATTTAGAGTCCAGGTGTGGGGCAAACATATTTCAGTGCTCGAGTGTCTCTGCAGGCACTGAGCTGCCATCTGTGGCCAGTACACTCATCCAGTGACGATAACAACTGTTTAAGGGAAACCCTGGTATTTTTCAAGCCGGTCCCATGGTTTAGCATCTAATGCCCAGTTTCCACCAAACACTTTCTGTATGGTACCTTTGGAACCAAAGTTAACCCTTCAGACATGGTGCCTAGACCCGAGCGTTTCCACTGAAAACAGTAATCTTTCATGTGAGTGTGGTTGTTGTCCGTTCAACACTCTCCGTTATTTCCTCCTTTATCAGTCTGCACCTCATCTGTCCGTCCTGGTAGAGAGATCCCTCCTCAGTTGCTGTCCCTGAGGTTTCTACCATCTGGAAAACATGAAGTCAGGCGCTGTGGGTGCTATTCTTGTGCCTTTTCTGTGCCAGCTTTCAAGAGTGCGGCGGCAAGTTGCATCTGAGGTTCTTAAACAACCTAAACCAGCATCATATCATAGCCTATTTACCTAAAATCCTGAGTGCAGAGCTGATCTTCCAGGCACTGCGTTCAAAAAGTTGAATTCTGTTTATCTCAGGGTGCAGCCGTCGCGCCCTGGAAAAAAGGCACTCGGAAACACGTGCACACTGTGACAGCATCACTCTGGCATTTGAGTGAACCTGACGCATGACTACATTGAAAACAGTACATTTTAGGGCACTAAAATCACGGCATGTGTACGGCCCCTTATTCACTTAAACACATAAACATGGGAAAATGGGGCCCAGGTTAAAAAATACCAAAGCTTCCCTTTAATATCGAAGAAAAATGATTTATTCAAAATTTGAACTTATATAATTCCACTTCTGATGTGTGCATTGGTGGCTGTAGTGAAAGTTGTTATGCAGTTAACATATTAAGCTTATAGTAAAATTAATTTTACAAATTTTAAAATACTTCAGAGTAGCTATAATAAATAATTTTATAATAACAATATATCACAATGTGCAAAAGATAGCCATTATGTTGAACCACAGACTGTATATAAAGATGGACGACATGACATCTCCCTAAAAGTGGAGCCAAAACATCTCTGTCGCCCCCTGGTGGCTGGCTGCAGTACAGGTCATAAACCTCACCCTCTCTGTTTTAGCGGATAGGACATCGGCAAACTCAGAGTACACGTCAAATAAATTTTTCCTAAAAATACCTCCTGTCACTTTAGGTTGTTCTTATCACATTGATGTCTTCATTCTTGTAGTATATGTTTGGTTGTAACTAGTTATTTATTGCTATTAAAGGGGGGGGGGGGGGGGGGGGGGNTGATTGACAGCTGTGTTTGCTAATCACTGTGCTCATGATCAATGGGGCTGCTCGCAACTGGTGTATGGGCCAAAACTTGAGACTGCGGAGATCACTTCTGTGCAGACTCTGGCTCCAAATGACACCACCAGCGCAAGATGGCAGCAGCTGTACCCGGAATACTTTGGCTTCATTTTTGTACAGTGGGAGTAATTGGAGACACGTCGTCCATCTTTCCATACAGTCATTGTGATGAACCTCAGAGAATTATCAGCTAAATCTGAAGCTCCTCTCGGCTTTACAGCGATTTATTGTGAGCTCCAGCTTGTTGTTTAGCTGTTGGTCAAATTAATTGTTTTGGTTTACTCTAAGTGCGTCACTTTCAACTGCAGCAGGTGGTTGTTATCTATGGAAAAGCTCTAAAAAGCACCAAAAAGCACAAAGAAAAGTAAGCAAGTAGATGGTGAACATAGTGGAGAGTCAGATATTTCCCACAGGAGTTGGTAGAGACCCCAAGTGGGGGGCAGCGGGGGGTTAGAGGGTATTTGATCTACAAATATTTTAGCCTCTTTGTCTCTCTCCTGCTATTTCAGACCAGACCAGACTTTTTTCTTTTTTTCAGTGAATGACTCATTAATTCAAAGTCACATTCCCCTCCAGGGGGACTGCACTGATCATGGCAAAGTCTGGGGAGCACTGTGTTAAGTCCAGTGCAGCTGTGCCTCAAGGAGTTTTCAGTCTTTTCCCAAGAAACAGATTATGCATGTACATATCTCTGCAGTACACTTTACATATAAAACAACACGAGGCGAGTCCATTAGATCGATGTTACACATTCAAGTGGAGGCCCCTCCCCCCTTTGAAGTGCCGCTGCTGGCATTGATTTACACTCAGAGAGAGCTCATTATGCAGATCTACATTTTAATTTGCCTCCAGGGAAATAATCTTATTTTTGATCAGAATGACAGCAAATGCTTTTGACTTTGTGACCCATGTACATGTAGCTTTATTATTCGGTCCTGTTGAGCATTAGACAGTGTTGTGTCAACATGTTTTAGCTCTCATGTAACCCTGAATACACACAAACATATTTAGATCTACAGAGACATAATCAAGGGTGCTTCTGGCAGGGTTAAACTAAACAGGAAATCCATTACTACATGTTGGATTTAACTAACAGATCTTATTAAGTACATGTCCAAAAAACACTTTCTGGCACGCTACCAAAAGAGGACCTTACATTTTAAGTTTGCTGCACCACATTCTGCTTAACTCAAACCTGTTGTCCTCATACGTGGACACTTTTATGTGCCATCTAGTGGTAGCAAAGGCACAATACACTAATCCATGTAAAAACAAGATGGCAACCATCTCTGCCAAGTCTGCAGCCGATCTCAACACAAAAGTGGACAAGGTGTTTGCAATGTTAAGGCACTGAAATAAACAGTTTTCTTCTTTATTATACTCTTGTGACTAAACAAAAAAAACACATATAAGGACTTCTGTTTTTCAAAAACTTTAATCTATTGAAAGACAATGCTTAGTTTTTTATACTTATCAGGTCCTCGTCGTGTTAAATTGCTAGTAGAAATTAAAAAAGCATATGAAACAAAAGCTCAGGTCTCAGGAGGATACTCATTTGAGCTCATAAGTCACGTACAGTTCTGTGTATTTCTAACAGTAAATCAATGTAAAATTGCTCTGCAGTTGTACATCTCTGACTGAGGCAAGAATACATACTCTGCAAATGTGAAAATCCATTGCCTGCAGCTCTTAGCAACACATTTTGACATTTTCACAAGCTTCCACCGGTCCATAACGCTGTAAATGAAAGTTGCAAAAGTAAATCCATTCCCTAACAAGCCATTTCCCGAGGTTTCAGCTTCGGTGGCATCGTTCAGACAGATTGAATTGGATTTTAAATAAGTCTTCACCTGTCAATCACAGAGAGCAGAAGTAAAGTAACAGAGTGCAGCTGCCCAAGGTTATTTGTTTTAATGTCTTGCAAATTGGTTGGCTTCTCAAATCTTAGAGAAAGATCCTCTGCATGCATCTGAACACACTATCCTCTGATGGGGCTCTCATTTTTCTTTAAGATCAAGTTAACATAAGGCTTCATGCAGCCAACTTTCTCATTAGCCGTGCTAGAAACTATAATTTTCATGTTCTGCGAGCTCCATTTCTGACCCACGCCTCCACACAGCTCCATTCTGCTTCATTTGTCTCACACAGGTTTAATATTCCCCTCTCTCTGTCTCTCTTTCTGTCTCACTCTCTCCCTCTCTGCCCACCTGCATCAGTGCATCTACTCTTTTAACTGGAATACAGATAAGAAAATATACTGCAGTGAACAAACACAAGAATTTCACTTTGAGGGGGGGCTGGTTGTGTGTTTGCAGGGCACCAAAGCACTGGCAGTTCCCCTGGTAACCAACACTTCAGTACTGAGGCTGAACCTGCGAGATAATTGGATGGAGGGAATGGGCGGAGCTGCTATAGCCGAGATGTTAAAGGAAAATTGTTATATTACAGGTGGTTTCACTGGGCACTCAAGCATGCACACATTTTCTCTGCCTTTTCCCTCAGTCTGTCTCAACCTTTTCTGGCAAAAGTGTCGCCCCCACTCCCACTCGTATGCCACTCTCACCCCAATTATATGCCACACATGTCTGGGGTCCATGTTTAATATTTGTTAGATGTCAGTCAGTGCAGGACCCTATGGGGGGAATCCATGGAGAATAACTCCTGTGAGTCACGCAGGCTCTTTGGGGTGGCGTTATTTTTACCATCCTTTGTCAGGCACCACTATTCAATTTTCCTGGGTAATCCAATTTTGGGAATATACAGTATAACAGATCAGTTGCCAACACAGAATTTTCAAGGAAACATATTTTTTGGATTTCAAATGAAAAAATATACAAGTAGAAAAGTGCACTGAGTAGAGTTCAGATCTCTGCCACTCTAGACTTTTGAGTTCTCCTGTTAAGAGGCACTGTATGTGAAATATAGATATGATGTAATTATGAGGATGAATGTTTCTAATAACTAAAACAGCCACAAACCTCTGATCCCTGTCATTCATAACTGGACTTCAACGAGTATGAACTCTCTAGGCTACAGCACAACAAATTAAAAACTAAAACAGATTTAAAAAAACTTTGTAGCCTCCTTATTTACAAGGGTAGAAGCACAAACTTTCCTGTGGATGTCAGTTTTTGAGTCCCGACAAAGGCCAAACTGTGTCCTGCAACAGACTGAAAGGCTTGTTGTTTTTAGCTGAGCCGATTCCTGTAAACTCGCAGCCCCTCTGGCCAGTTAAGAGCTGAGAGGCTTCAGCAATCAATGACGTATAAAACAGTCAATAGAATAAGTTTTTCAACAACCAAGAGAGGTCATGGATGTGCACACAAAATATTAGGCTGATTGGTCCAGTAGTACGCACACGACGAAACTCATGACATCAGACAACAAACTCTTTATCTAAAAATAAATACCACTTCACATTGTGTCAATCACCTTTGCACAATGAGTCTGAAACTTTAGTCCGCCATGAAATTTTTCGGGACAGGTTCGATTTTCTGAAGAAAATGTGGCAGGACACAGTCGCGACAAGCCAGAGGAACAGGATGCACAGAATCATTTCATAACTCAGATAGCTCACTTTCAGCATGTCAGATAGTAATATTCAGGTGGATGATGATGACGAGGAGGAGAAGGATGTGGACCGCACACAGAATGTGGAGGACAGAGAAGGAGGACAGCTCCGCCCCTTCATGCCTCGGTGCCAAATGACAGACAGGAAAGGAGTGGTGTCTGTTTTAACTTTGTCACATATTGCGAATTTTCACAATGAATATAACAATAAAACGCTTAGATTTTTTTTGGATGATGGATTTAAAAAATGCATCCAAAAAAACCCGGATTCAATGTGCAAAGGGCTTTACTTTGTTGAGCACATAGTGCAAACTTATAATCAGGGGAATATCAAATACAACTAAAAATACTAGTGATATAACAAGAAAGCTAACATCATTATGCTAACATGCACGTTTAGCACGTATAATGTTCTTTGACTTGTTCATCATCTTAGTGTTGTAAGTTAGCAATACTAACATTTACTGTTACGCATTAAACGCAGAGTACAGCTGAGGCTGATAGAAATGTCAATAATTTTGCAGGTGTAATCCACAGTATTGGAAGAATTAAAGTTTTGACCTGATGATGATGCTTATGGAAAGCTTAGGAATCACTTAGATTAAAACTGAAGTGTGTGGTGCATTTGTTTTTTAAAAAAAGGAGGAGATAGCATGCGAGAATTATGACCAAAAATATTCAAAACTTTTTGATGAGGCCAAACTTTAAACTGAAGAGAGATAAGGGAAGGAATGACCGATAATTACCTCCTTTAGGGGGTTAGGTTTTCAATTCAGTTTGGTTTGTTTGTCTGTTTATCAGCAGGATTCTGGAAAACGTACTGGCCCAGTTTTCATAAAACTTGGTTGAAGGGTGTAGCATGGGCCAAAGACAAATTTCACATTCGTTAACATTGCAAGGTAGGGCATTTGGCCTTGGCAGAGGTCGGCGCTCTTTAAGTGACCTTCTAGTTTTAGATGTGGCCTTAACTATTTTGTGAAACACTCCTCAGCCACTGACGAGTGTCAGGCTGCCAAACTGTGACAAAGCAAACTTGAAACAACATACATACAGGATAAAACTACAAAACATCCTTTGAATTGTGGAAAAATTCTGCTGCAGTTCTTCTCTTTGGGCCCTTTTTGTGATGGGAAACATATTAGCTTCTCCTGCCACGTATTGTTCTTCTGACCTGCCTCTTTTCACCACTTGTGTGCCATTCCCAGAGGTGGACCTAGCCGACAACAATCTCGGGGATTATGGGGCCAGAGCCATCGCTGAGATGCTTAAGGAGAACAGCACCCTGGTGAGCCTTAATCTGTCAGGAAACCATTTCACAGACCGCTCAGGCGAACACCTTGGCCCAGCACTGATCACCAACGCCAAGCTCCAGCACCTGGACCTCAGCCACAATGCTCTGGGAGAGCGCGCAGGTAGCACAGTAATTAGTTATACATAATAAAGGTCACATATATTCTGTAACACCTGAGTCTTTTTAAAGAATGAAACAGTAACCATGGCTCCCAGTCTCATTAGGCTGATATTAAAGATTTTCACTGGAGATACATATTTTCACATAGTTTGCATTAGCAGCATCAGATAACTGAAGTGCTGGACCCAGAAAGTATATATGGCATTGATAGATGGCAAAGGACATTAAAGAGGTGTGACAAATAGATGTAAATGAGTCCTGTTTCTTTGGACAGAGCTCCCATGTTCTGCTTTTTACCAGATAGTTTGCTTTTAGGAATTCAGTTTAATTGATGTTAAAAACATCATTATATTGCCATAAATATTTGGACAGCTAAATGAAACATGTGGTCACTCAAACCTGACACCCATGTGATAAGTGAACAGCTCACATTCGATTTCCAGTTCATCCCTGAGGCATTGCATGTGTCATAATCAGGCTCTGAGCCATGACAAAGATGGTTTAACATCTCAAAAACAAGTGAATTAAATGCATAACTGAACATAAACAAAGCATGAGTGTGAGTAATAGTGGAATCAGTAGTTGTGTAAGTTGTGCATGAGGGATGAGGCGGTGTGTGAGTGTTTTAAGGTGCTCAAAAGGAACTAAAAAGAAAATTGAGGTAATGCTGCCGTCATCCACCAACAGGCTCAGGTGTTGCCAGGGGGCACTATTAGTCATCCTGCCCAACACACAATGCAATAGAGCACACAGAAACTGCTGCTACTCTACAGCAGGTGTTGCCAACCAAGCGGCAACCTCTGGGGCTGAAAAACGAAGCCAAAGTGAAGTGCCAAAAGTTGCAGTTCCTCAAATGGCCACTTGAGGGTGGCTCTTGAGGAGAGGTAATCCCAATAGACCCCCATGTTAAAATGCCCAACTTTACAGCAGAAATAAACATGTTTACAGCCTGGTACAAAAAGCAATTTTGGTCTCTATAGCTAATTTCTCCCTTAATGACAACTGTAAGGGGGGTGAATTTACTCGTTTTCATTTATTACGGCTTAAATTTATGCATAATTAAGAGCAGGCTGCTTTTAATGACAAGCTGTCTATGAGGTGTCGCTACAGTCTATGAGTCAGATCTCAGCTCTACCCTCTCACTCAAATGTGCCCCCTTCTGGCTCTAAAAATTCAAGATGGCGATGACCAAATGCCAAATTCGAAGCTTCAAACCGGGAGTCCATAAACCAATGGGTGATGTCACAGTGGCTGCATCCATTATTTATATACAGTCTGTGGCAGTGGTTCCCAGCTGGTCCAGGCACAGAGTCCAGATTTCTCCTTAGTCATTAATTCAAGGTCCACACAGTTAATCATATTCAGTGTCATACCTACATTTGGCCATGTCATCAAGCAGGTTTGCTGTTAGTCACTCACTCTATAGCAGGAACCAGCACTTCAGAATAAAAGCTCTGTGCCAGAAATTCACTGTACTTAAAAATAAAGTGTGTGTTTTACAAACTTGACATAGGAATCACTTGAGGTCCATTCAGAATGGACCCACAACCAACTTTTTGACCATGGCCCACCAGTTGGGAACCACTGGTCCATGGTTACCACACACATGGAATTCCCTAAAGAAGTATACCATTGTCTCAGAGGGACAACACGTCCATGGAGAATAACTCCACGTTGATATGAGGTGGTCTTTGTGGAAAAAAAGCTTGTTTAGTGGACTAACTTTGCACTTGAAGGTTGCCCGTTCACTTACGTTTTAACAGGTCTGACGCTACTATGCGCCCCGGCTGTATCTAGGCTAACGGCTAACATGCTAACTATTATTTTTATGTCACTAGTCACTTGAAACAAATTTAGGACGATAGGAGACAGGTTGAAATAAACTGAAATTACCCTTTAATGTAATATTCAGGGGCTGCACAAAATCTTTCTGAGGGCCGCCACTGGCCTGCGGGCCGCACTTTAAACAATTGTGGTCTAAAATATCATTGTGTTGCAGCGTAGATTTCCCTTCATCTTCCTTAAAGCGCCTGTGGCCCAAAATAACAAAAAGGAAAATTGGTGACTGATACACATACAGTAATACGACATTCACATACTTAAGTTACACTGTGAATAAATAAAATCAGACCATTTTGCTTTTTATTTCAGACGTCTGCAATTAATCCCAAAGCTCAGACATTTGTATCACTTGGCCAAAATTCATAAACTTTTCATTTATCCAAGATCAAAAACAGATAAATGCTACATTTCAGATTAGCATCATCTTGAACTTGTCATAAGTGACATCATTACTTAGTTAAAATCCAAACTATTTTACACATATGTTCTTGTGTTCACACATGAATGAATGAGCGTTTTTAAAAAAAGCAGCTGTAAGTGAAAGCAAAGCCCATTTTCTGCCTATAATAAGTGTATATTCAGTAAGGTTCTATAAAATGAGCAATTACTGGGATGAGTGCAGAATAATTTAACATTTGATTACTTGTGTCTCCTTTTATTAGATTTTTGGAAAACCCTTCTCATAAAACCAGTAAGAGTTTGCCATAATGGTGTAGGCTTATCTCTACGCAGTCACAGGACAGCAGGCAGCAGCAGACTGTGGCATTCAAAGGTCAAGAACATTTTCCCTTCATTAAAACCTCTTTCAATTATCATGTGGATGAGCTCTGTGACAGGCCCCTTGTGGTAGAATGGCAAACCAGGATGCAATGAGCATCCGATGAAGGTAATTGAAAATAAATCTGTCTGTGGGAAAGGGGACACCACCATGTCTCATTGCCATGTGTGCCGCTATGATTCATCCCCACATATTCAATTTTATTTTCTCCACTGCTGAAATATCAAAGGACATCCTCATGCTGTTTGAGTGCACTCCTCCATATAGCAGAGCGAAAGCAGTGTACCAATCAAACACTCTGACATTCATGCTATGGTTTTATTGCTTTTTCAGTCAGGCACACTGAGAGTTTCTCTTTCTGTGATTATGAACCACTGAGTGCTGCTGTGCACATTCTTATCCTCGTGGTGATAAAGTGGGTGAGATGATGATGGGTATCTTTCTCTTCGGGGTCGCTGCCTGTACAGCCCTCACTCACTTGTGCTTTTAGGCCATGAAACACACAATCACACCATCTCGCTAGAAGCTACTGGAGATTAGTTGCTCCCAGAGAGTGTAGAAGTGGGTGTTTGATTTTAATAAGTACTTCTGATTATGCTTCCTCACCGCTAAAAAAGCTGTCGTCTCAGATTTTTTCCCTGCTCCAGTCTGGATGTGAATACTTTTTTGAAAAAATCAGATTTCAACTATTTGAGAGTTTGTTACAAACTGACTGATAATAATTATTTATATTCATTGAACAAGTCACTGAATTTACTAAGGGAATTGGGCATTTTCTTGTTTTCACAATGAAATAATGGAACTTTCTATTTTTATTTGTTCTTATCTTTTTTCCTATCCTAAGGGAAAACCCTCGGAGACTCTCTGTCAGAGAACACAGGGCTGAGATCACTAAGTCTGGCCTGGAACTGCATTCGAGGGAGAGGAGCTGTGATGTTAGCCAATGGCCTCGGGGTAATACACCTAAAAAAGATCAATGTTTGAACACTATATTAGCTTTTGAACTCATGCGAGACAAAAACAGATCTACAGGTAATACAGTGGAAGGTTAGACCAGGACAAGATTTTGCTGCCACAACAGCCTCTTCTAGGAAAGGCTGTCAGCAAGCCTTTGGAACGTGGCTGAAGAGATTTGCTCCTGTTCAGCCACAGAATCATCAGTGAGGTTGGACACTGATGTTGGGCAGGAAGACCTGGCTCACAATGTTTCTCATCCCAAATGCTGGATGGGGTTGAGATCAGAGCTCCATGCAGGCTGGTCAAATCCTTTAACACCCAACTCAGAAAACCATTTACAGACCTGGCTTTGTGCATGATGCCATCGTCATGGTGAAACAGAAAAGGCCCTTACTTAAATGTTTTCAGGAAGGTATAAGTACACTATTGTCTTAAATATCATTGCATGCTGTCATAGTACGATTTTCCTTAATTGGGACTAAAATAAACTCTGAAAACAACCTGAGAGTGCGTAAGTGCATAAAAATACCCGGACAGATGTGCCCACACTCTATATAGGCTACTTTTAATGGCGAGGGGATTATACCCAACTATATAATTTAGTGTACTTAAAGGTTATGTTTGAGGAAAAAACTTTTTTGAACCCTCCCCAATGGAAAAATGTTGGCATTGTACGTTCGGCAAACTACAGATACATTACATTTTTCTATTATTATGTAGGGGATACATTGAAACTTTACATTTCAACAACGCTGTGGTTAAGGTGTGGTTAGGTATGGGCACAAAAAAAATTAGTTGTGATTAGGAAAACATCATGTTTAGGCTTAAAAATTCCAGTTTTGGTAGCACCGATGTCTCAGTAAAAAACAACTGCTTTTCGAGGTACTATCCTGGCACTTTCCTTGGTAAGGGACAACACTTTTCGTGCTATTGCTGAAAAAAAAAACAAAGAAAGAAAGAAACATGTTTGATGGCTAAAAAGCTGCTGGAAACAGCAATAATTTGCTAAAAAAAATCAAACCAGTATTGTTGTATGTTGGTTTCTCTTTGGCAGCCTGGTCCCACTCTGAAGTCGTTGAAATCCAGCGTTTTGGCAGTGACTTGTGACATCAGACACTGATGAAAACAGCTGTCTTTTAATGTCAACATGATATGCAGCCAGTCACCGTTTTAGTTTAACAGCGCTCAGTGGGACCAGAACTATAGTTAAGGCCACAAAAGTCTGACTAGGATGGACGGGTGGGGTTGTGGATGGGTCCAACAAACACCGACTTTCACCTAGGAGAGCGGTGTTTGTGTCCCATAGGATTATAAAACTAAACCCTGTTCTTTTTTCCTAAACCCAACCATGTATGTTAGTTGTTGAAGGACAAAAACATCAATTCCTCTGTGAATTGTGAAAGGGACTGTATGTAAACGGTAAATTTCCTGTGAAAACAGAAGTGTATTTTGAAAAACGACAATGCATGTAAAAGGCAAACTTGACATGGCGTCCCAGAACGTCAACAACCAATGCACCCAGGGTACCTTTCACTTTGTATCTGGGCGTGAAAATCCATTACCAAACATCAGAGTGAGAATGTGCTGACTTTGGAGTCAAGCCATTCACCATCCCCTACACCTCCAGATGACAAAGTCAGCTCATATGTAAACTTCAGAAATGTTGACATGAAATGTACAAATGTAGTATATTCGTGATTTGCAGAATCGTACAAAGCCCACATTTTTTTCTGATGTCTTGCTGTAGAACCAACTGGAGCATCTACGATCTGTTCAGCCCAAAAAAATTACCAGTGATAAACTTTAACGGAGAAACTTGCTTTTATTTACTTCTGTGTGAAATCAGATGACGCTGGGACAGGTGTAATGTGCTCCCTTTTGTTAATGCGCATGTACAGTAATGCCCATTGAATGGTCAGTTGGCTATGACAAAACTTTGGGATAAGCCATGGGGGATTTATTAAACCAGAATTAGAACGTTAGTCTGGTGATGCTGTTTCGAATTTGTAAACAACACTTGTATATTAAGATTAATAGTATGAGTATCAGCTGGATGATACTGTGTATCATAACCTGGATAACCAGCTTATCCTGTTTTATGAAACAGCCTCTTGGTCAGGTATTCATTGAGCTCCTCACAGCAGGAGAGACAAGAGACAGTGCTGAAGGAGATCTTCGTTCCCTATCTTAATGACCAAGATGGTCAAGCAGACTCTGATCAATGTGCTGCACTGACAGGTTTGATTGATTCAGGTCATGAGAGGCTGATTACGTCAGCTCTCTCGCTTTAAATTAAGGCGCTCCCTTTGTCCTCAGATAATCTTGTTAGAGACCTTGTTCAAGTTTTACTTGTTATTTCATTTAAAATCTTACTTTACCACAGACACAATAATTTTCTGTTTTTTAGGGAAACATTTTCCTCCGAACGGTGGATCTGTCATTTAATGGCTTTGGTAGAGAAGGAGCCATTGCTCTGGGACAGGCTCTGAAAGAGAACGCTGTTTTGGAGGAGTTGAATGTGAGGTATGAGCCTTTGTTATATTGGGATCTGGTAATCGGATTACTTTACTGTACCTGGATTAAACAGGGCAGAGGTTGCAAGCTCTGCTTAGATCATTTCTAATAAATCAAATGAGAGCAAATAATATGTTTCACCTTGTGTGGTAGTAAGCGTGAGGCCAATATGAGACTCCAGGTGAGGTCAGTTTGCTCTCCCACATTTTTACTAATAAATCTTTAGTTGTGGTAACCTCTGAAACTTCTTAAAATGTAACTATAATTTAGTTTCTTCTGCCTCTGTTTTAACCTCAAGTAAAACAAACCTTGCCTCACAAATTCCCAGACATTTGGGCTACATGGATGAATAATGCCATTTAAAAAATAACACTTTATGATTGCTTCCCTCACACTCCAACACAATTTTTTTTTGCTCTCTCCGTTTGTTTCTCGCCACAGCAACAACCGAATACCCCCTGAAGGAGCTCTCCGCCTTGCCATGGGCCTCAAAGTAAACAAGACAATCAAATCCCTGAACGTAAGCTGTTGAAAGATTGGTTCTTGCTTGGGAGTCAATGGGGGGCATCAGTGGGTAAAATGGGATAAATAAACGGATCACTGTACTTTGTTTTAATGTCACCGCCCAAGCAGAGTTCTCAGGGTGTGTTATATTAACTGTCTGTAAACAAGTTAGTGATCGAAAATAAGTTATGGTTCGGACTTAAAATTGAGTTACAGCTTGAGCATTTAATATTGATTAGCCTACATGTGCACTCCTGAGTTGGAAATACTGTTTGGATGAAATAAATAAGTCTGAATACTTACAATGAAAAGCTAAATTAAGGCATTTTAAAAGTTTGATCAGTTAGTGAAAAGTTTTAAAGTTTAGAGACACAGTCTAACGTGCATCTTCATTAATGGCAGCTCCATCTAGTCCACTTCTGTCTGTCTGGTTGATTTGATATTTTATGATTTGATATGACTAGTACACGTTTAATCACACTAACTGTATGTTCACACCAACAGCGACCAGAGCTTCCAAAACAGCAGAAGTCATTTATTTTCAATGAGAGCCCAGCGACTTGGGCAACTTGGGTGACCTGGTTGTCAGCCGCACGTCTTGGGCGACCAAAGTGACCGGAGCGGAGTTAAAACTCGTTTAACCTTATGGTAATGACTTCTGACGCGGTTCAGCTACAACCAATTGGAATGCTGACGTGCTTCGATGAAGCGGGTCCCAGAGAACAAGCCATGTAACTTTGGTACCTACAGCACACTTGTTCCAACATTGGAGAACTTGATTACTTGCGCTCGCGCCCACTCAGTCCTTTATAATGTGTTGCTGTTCGGTTACAGAGGCCAAAATAAAAAGAATGAGGCTTGGGACTGCGTCACAGAGGTTGTTGGTTGGTCTAGTGAGTTTTAAAGTGTGTAATGTTAGTAAAAGTGGAGAGAATTGCAGGCTAACGTTGCGACGTAGCATGCAAGTCTTCCTTGCTTGGTTTGAATGGGATGACATATTGCAAAGCAAAGCATTTTATCAACACAACTATGAACTTTTTGACTGGACAACAGCAAGCAGCAACTACGCTGCTTTCAAGCCAGTAGTCTGCTTTGCAGCTCCTTTAAATTGACAAGCCCGATCGAACGTTCATTGATTCATGTGATGAGCGACTAGAGCGACCAAAGCTGCCACAAATATTTTTGACAGTTGTGTTTCTTGGGCGTCCGCGAGAGACTTTGCCTCTTTGGAAGCTTCTGGTTTGAACGTACAGTAATATGTGGTTGTGTCCACCAAACACTTTCAGTATGGTACCTTTGGAACCAAAAGTAACTCTTCAGATGTGGTACCTAGACCTTATGTCTGTTTAGCATTTCCACCGCAAACAGTACTCATAAATGTGGGCGGGGTTGTTGTCACTCACTGCTCCATCCAGCACCTGCTATATTTCCTTATCACCGGTGACATAGAGGGAAGTCAACACCTCATTTATCGTCCACAGAATGAGGCTGCACGCTGACATTTTCAGAACAAAATAGAACAGACTGCAGTGAGAGTCTCTCTCCATGGGATATTTAAAAATGGCAGGTTTGTGCATTTAGTCCTTCTCAGGCAATCTCAGGGGTTAAATGTTGCCGCAGCCCACAGGAACGATGCTTCACAATGCTTTTTTTCTCAAGTGAGGATTAGAATATATGCCGTTCACATAGTCCAGTCGAAATGAATACACTTAAGTGCTTTAAGATCTACTCATTACTAAAAGTGTATGTCATATAAAAACTAGATAATGGTCAAAGTTGTCACGATGAAATTTAAGGTGTGCTGATGGATTCACGTCATCAACTCATGCATCGAGTATCATTACAAGTAAATGTTCCACCTTAAAAGTCGCCGGCAGTCGGCCCAGTGAATTAAGTTATTTTTTCTCAGACTCCAGCTGCTGTGAGAGGCAGCAAAACATTCTTTCATTTTATAGCTACAGTTTACTAATGAAACTCTCCACGGTATGAACAGTGGTTACATGAGCCTCAAAACCAGACACAACTCAGTCCTGAGCGAGGTTTAACACCAGGAGGGTCACATATGAAACGATGGGGTCTGGGCTCCTCCGCCAGAAAATTTTGATCATCACATACCAATTTTCTGCATTCTGGTGAATTTTCATGCACCAATTTGTGTCTTTTCTGCATTAATTTAACGTTACTTTTATGTTTTTATTGGAGCAGGGGGGGACAAATGCACATGTTCTAAATATTAAGGGGGGGCTGGTCCTCTCCAATATACACCTATGAGTCCCTTAAACATGGTGCATTGTCCTTTTTACATTAAAAACAGAGATTTGTGTTATCTGCTATATTTAGAGTTGATGTTAGGCAGATTTTGTCACCATTTTGAAGCCGCTTCAATCCCAGGCTAGCTGTCTTTGTGATAAACTTATTTCGAGATGACGCAAGAAGTGGGAATCAATTTTAAAACACCATAATAGCCTTAACAACTTACCACATCCTAACCACAGTAAAGACCCCCACTGTGGTGTTATTGCCGTATTCTTACATTCCTAATGTTTTTCTTTGGCCAGATGGGTAGGAACCCCATTCAGACTGCTGGGTGCTACGGGATCCTCAAGTCTGTACAGGAAAACCCAGATTCAGCCGTGGAGGCATTAGACTTCTCGGTAAGTCAAACATATTCCACCCCTATGAGACTTTGAGCGAATCTTCGTCTATTCAAACTTATTCACCAGCCTCTCTGTATCACTCTCTCTAGGACATCACAGTGAACCAGGATTTTGAAGATCTGTATACGGCAGTGAAAGAAATATTCCCTGCGCTTACAGTAAATCACGGGGGCAGAATTGGCACATTCAGAAAAGCAAAAGCTTGAAAAGTGTTACTGTAATTGCTGTACTTTTATGCCAGAGAAGATGGAAGGAGTCTTGTCAAAGCCCTGTGGACGTTTTCATCCATAGATGGAGCGAAGGATGGATACATGGAAGGATATCATTTTAAAAAGATGTCAATTTTTAAAAAAAGAGCCGTGAGAGCATGTTCCGCTGAATGAAACGTATTTATATCAAATAAAACTTGTTAAATACGCAATCAATTTAAAATAAAGATTATTCAGAGAGAGTTTGTTCACTTTATCAAATGAAACAGTACGTACACTGCATGCATGCCTGCCTGAAATATAGTGTTGTTAAAGTCATTGAACACAGGCATACAATACAGGTATTGAGCATGATTCTTTTTAGGTATGATCTGATTTGATGTTATATAATGTCAGTGGGTAGAATGATGGAGAGGATCAGAGAGCACCGCATTGTGTATGAAAAGAAGCGAAAGTGGGTTGCACAAAAAGGATTTAAGTACTGCATGACTGGTCTAATAGAGAAACCAGCTTTGAAAGAATGATCCAGTGTTAGATAAGAGACCTGTTTACTGCGGCAGGACGACTCGAACACTGCTAGATACAGTAAGCTGTCATTTAGAGATGTGTATCATACACCGCCAAAAAAAGATCTCTAACTTAGTCATTTCATTTCATGTTATTAAAAAGCAGCAGAAGTGTGGAGTGATCTCACTGTAATGTTTTTGTTTGACATCTTACATTGCATGACTGAGTTAGATCTATTTATAATCTTTAAATGGAGCTGAACTTTAAGTACAGTGTTATGGTACTTAATGTACTTTACTTGAGCTTTATATTTTATGCAACTACATGGCTCTGGGGAAGGATTTTCAGAGGAAAATATTATATTTTGTGGTCCACTACCTTTATCTGATGACTGCAGTTCCTTTACAGAGAAAGAGTTTAAGATTTTTAATTTCCTTTTTTAATTAGCAGCAAAGGGAACAGCTGCAAAACTAGAGTTACAACAATTCAGATAATGTATTCAGTAATTTAACTTTTAACATAATGCATTTGTAAAATATCAGCTACAATAATATTCACACAGATGTCCAAAGCATTAAGTAGGATATGTAGCATAGGATGAAATCAGATAATGTGGGACATCAGGGACACACACACACACACACACACACACACGTGCCACACACCTATCATGCTGCCCATGATACCCTCCTGTCCCGTTTATACAGACATTGTTTCAGTGCAGTTATTACCTCCAGTGCTGACTTAAAGCTGAGACAACTCTGTCTCCCAACTCCGCGATTGTACCTCTTATACAGAACAGTGAGGCAGCATAACAGCGTGAAATTCCTGGCTTGAAGAGGCAGTGTAAAAGGAGCTAATATGGCACAAAGGAAAAGGGAGCACAAGAACAGGGAACACATGGTAGAAAAGCAAAAATATTTTATATATAGAGCACTTTTCATGGTACTCAAAGACACAGTACATTAGTTGACAATGATCATAAAACAGATTGCAGTTAAATACACACAACATCATTCACATATTAAAAGTCGTTTTGAAAAGATGAGTTTTGATGAGTGATTTGAACTGGGAGAGACTCGGCATCAGAGAAGTGGGGACTGTGGGAAGGAGTGTGTCGGTGGTAGTATAAATGAATAGTTAGGTTACACTCATGGTTTAATGAATTCATGACTGAACTCATGACTTGATTTCATCTTTAAAAAACAAACATGACGGTCCCAATTTGCCATTTAACTAGTGGACCCATGTCACTGAAATGAGGATTCTTGATGTGTTTGAAAGTCCAGAGTTTTTGAAGCTGCCAATTCATATTGCAACATATTGTTTATAGCAGAGAAGGCATTCTCCAGAATTTTTGGTAGTTTTCGTAGTAGTCTATATATTTATCAAGACCTACTGGTGGCTGGAGAATGCTGGACTGACAGACAGCATGGAGGCACCAATCGCAGCACAAGAACAGGCCCTAAGCACAAGGGCCATAGCGGCCAGGGTCTACCACAGCTGATAAGACCCAAGGTGCAGGCTGTGCAAAGATGCCCCTGAGACGGTCCAGCACATAGTGGCAGGGTGTAAGATGCAAAGCAGGGTCAGCGTACATGGAGAGGCACAACCAAGTGGCTGGGATAGTGTAGAGGAACATCTGTACCCAGTATGAGTAGACTCGAAGTACCCAAATCCAAAGGTGGTTGAGAGCAACACGGCTAAGGTCCTGTGGGACTTCAGCTTCCGGACTGACAAACAGCTGCTGGCTAAACAACCAGACATAGTGGTGGTTGACAAACAGCAGAAGAGGGCAGTGGTGGTAGACAGCCAACAGCAACATCAGAAAGAAGGAACGTGAAAAGGTGGAGAACATCTGAAGCCTCAGTCCAGAAGAGTCCAGTCCTAGGAGCAGCTAAGATACTGCGCAGAACCCTCAAACTCCCAGGCCTCTGGTAGAGGACTAGAGGAAGTTTATTGTTTGTCTTGAGCTCTACACCTATACTGCAGCCATAAAAAATATACACAATAACATATATAATAACAAAAGAAAACAAAAAATACAAAAATATATAATGAAATGAGACAAAAGCAAAACATATATAATGAAATAAATAATTATAATGAAATAAATTAAACCTTAGATATTATGAAATCATTTAAGCGTGCCACTTTTGGTTGTAGTACTAAAAAAAACATCTAACAATGTTTTTAAAGTTGCTCCTTATCATTGACAGGCTCCACTCGACTCATCAGGTCTGATCGACTGTGCGTATCGACCAGTGCGGACTACGTCACACAGTCACGTGCTTTTAAATCTCCGGCGCGCTAACAGCTTAGCAGGTTTGACAGGGTTAACATCAGTCACAACACCACAGATAAGGAGGTAAACATTAACCAGGCCGGTGTGTTTACGCGCACACGCACGTTTTTACTTTACAGAGGAACATGGCGACGACTACTTCAGTGTGGTGTAAAGGACAAATGTTCTACAGGTACTCTGTGAACCTGCACCAAACCACCAGGTAAGGACGGTTTTGGATGTGTTGTTAGCTTAGCATTAATAGCATTATTTACAAGGCCCGTGTCACGGTATGTGAGACAACCCGGAAGTGTCGTAGAGTAACGAGTTTATAATATTGTGTCAGTCTGCTGTATAAAATTAACTCCCACACTTAAACATAAATGAAACAGACTTTTTTTTTAATATAACTTATATAGCTTATTTGACATTAAAGCAAACTTTAACCGCTTCGTCACCGTGTTTTTATTTTTAGCTAGCACTCCATATGTTACTGTAGCTTGTGTTTGTCTTCACTCAAGCGTAACAAATTATATTGCCTATAATAAGGTGATTTAATGTGTGCGTGCATTGCATTAGGCTCAGTTGAATAACCCTTTATGTAAGATGTCAGTGTCATTATGAAGGAAACAACCAGGCAGGTTTCCAAAGCTGCTTTAATCATTTGCTGGACCTCTGAACTTTGTCCTGTGCAGCCACACCACATGTTAACTTATCTGTGCCTCCACACTGTGCATTTACTCTAAAAAAACAACAATTTTCTGTCTTGAATACTACTGTTATTTTGAGAGGGAGCCATGGGGAATTAATTTCTAATTATAGCTCCCAATTAAAGCCATTGGCCCTTATAAAAGAGACTGACCTTGAAAGTTTGTGGATTTTAAAATAACAAATAAAGCCTCAGCGAGTGTTTGTGAATTAACAGATGGCCTTGAAAGTGCCTCATATAAGTAAACATTTTGCACAGTATAGCTCCCTAATCCACAGAAGGGCATATTCAAACTGTTCTCTACGGGCTGTTCGTGTTTCAACACCGCACACCCTGTGAAAAACACTGCAGCTGAGGTTAATGTTGACATTGAAGCAGCTTTATAATTACGAGTTTATAAAAAGCTATGAAAGCCATTAAAACGTCCTTGAAATTGTCCAGCTGAGTGTTGGAGCTCTGTTTAACCCTACATATGGCTCTGTATATACAGCTATATGTAACTTATTTAAAGGTCCAGTGTGTGAGATTCAGGGGATTTAGGGGATCTTGTGGTGAGGATTGCAGATTGCAACCAGCTGAAACTTCTCTCTTAGTTAGAAATCCCTCAGCCTTCATTGTTCATTCATTCATTCATTTCCTGTAATCGCTTACCCTGTTAGGGGTCATGAGGGGGCTGGAGTCTATCCCAGCTGACACTGGGCGAGAGGCGGGGTACACCCTGGACAGGTCGCCAGACTATCACAGGGCTGACACACAGAGACAGACAACCATTCACACGGGCAATTTGGAGTTACTACTATTACTTAACCTAGCCTGCGTGTTTTTGGACTGTGAGAGGAAGCCAGAGTACCTGCAGAAAAGAGAACATGCAAACTCAGCACAGAAGGGCTCCCCCAGCCCAGTGCTGGCGGCGTGGTAGTGCAGAGGCCAGCATTGTTGCCTCACAGCAAGAGGGGCTGCATTGTTCAGGAGGTTTTTACCATTAGCTGAATTATTCACAGAGTTCCCTTCCTCTCTAAATCCAATGGACTATGTGATTAAAATTGGTCAATGAATCACTGAATAAAGCAGTGTCACGTTACAAATCAAATCATCATTGCAGGCGTCCGCTTGCCCGTCACCTGCATGTGTGTGCTCACCTATTTTCTCTAATAACTTAACGTGCACTCACCTTACTGTATGATCCAGAGGTCTCCTCCTCTCAAAAACAAATTGACTCAGTGATTTAAGCTGGTAAAAACCCTGACCAAAGCAGTTTCACATTACAAATCAATGTTTCTCTTAGCTGTTTGGCATGTCAGACACAGGCTGCTAACCTAGCAGTTGCTAATCTGTGCTCACCTACTTTCTCTGAGAACTCAAGATCCAGACATTCAGGAGGTTTTTACAGGGAGCTGAATTATCCACAGAGGTCCCTTCCTGTCCAAAACAAACAGACTCAGTGATTTAAACCGATAAAAACACTGAATAAAGTAGTTTCACATTACAAATCAGTGTTTCTCTGGCCCTGTTTAGCATATTGCAGATGGCCCACTTGCCAGGCACCTGCACATGTATGCTCACCTTACTCGTGATCTAGATGTTCAGGAGGTTTTTACTTGAGCAGAATTTTCCGCAGAGGTCTCCTCTACCCCAAAACAAACAGACTCAGAGGTTTAAACCGATAAAAACACAGAATACCATAGTTACAAATCAGTGTTTCTCCGACAATATTTGGCACTTTGCAGACAGCT